CATGCTCATCAGAACTTGATTCATCGAAGAGAACCACGAGTTTCATAGAGTGTACTGAGAAAATATATTCAATGAGGTCAAATGCAAATCTGCAGAGTCAGTCACGGTGGGTAACCACAATTTCTGAGACTATTCCTTTACTTGATCATTTTAGTAAGGTTTTAAGTCCATTTCTTTTGAAGTTGATACCTGACCCGATATCACTGACATGCTCATAATTCGGAAAACTGGATTTAAGAATCTGTTTCTGTCTTTCAAGGTCATCTTTTTGTTTGTTGCTTGAGACACATGCATATAGGAAACCTTTCTTTTCAGTAACGGAGGTGGTTGAGATATCATTTTAAGTAATTAACTCTGGTAAAAAAGAAGAAATATCATAGAGACAAGTCCCAGATGGAGATGCTTTCGCAGATATTTTTCCTTGTTTTAATCAATGTCTCAAAGTATTAGATGAAATTCCAAGTTTTTTTTGGTTGTTTTGTGAGCAGATAAATACATGAGAAAAAAAAAAATTCTAATCCTGTAAACAATCCTGATTTACAACTGATAAAGATTCGATTTTAATTTATCATTATCAATTTAACCTAATAATCTAATAAGAATGAGAGCTTAATAAATATTACTATGCAATTCATTATCTCATATATCGATAAGCCATTACTAATTAAAATTTTTATGTGGCTGAATTAATATAAATTTCTTTTATTTAAATTACATCGCGCAGATTAAAATTTTCTGTGCTAATATCATATGATTGGTATTTAAATGTCATGTGACATCAGTGACTTTATTTAATGAAGCATTAATAAGTGCAATTCAAAGCATTAAGAAATAAATCACATTTTTTTTATATTAAACTGCACTATACAAATATAATAATTTGCAAGAAACAGTAACTTCTATGAATAAAAAATTAAAATAGATTGAATGTCTGTGTTTTAGCATGCTATAGTGATGATAATAGATGCATCTTCGTGACAAAATAACTTCATAGTATATAAGTAATATTTTGATTGTACGTATTTGTTGTTCAAGAAAACGAATTTCACTAGAATTTAGATTCAACAGTATTAGTTATATACTAAATATATTTATTTAAAATTAAATTTAAAGAATTTTAAACAAGGATTTAAAATCATTTTTCAACTCAACTGAATTGCATTGTAATATTTAAACTTTATTAAAATCTGATTTATTTTGATTGAACCGTTATTTAACAATAACATTAATAACTTGAATTTAATTGTATGTTGCCTACTAATAATTCTGTAAAGTGTAGCTATAAAATATATTGAATTTAAAATTTAAAATTATAATAATTCTTAACATTAAGTTTAAAATTATTTATACAAATAGTTTGGATGCCTCTCTTGCACCATAATCATTTTTTTACCCATGATCTTTTGTCCATCTTTTCACATTAGGAAGGTCAAGACGTTTAGCTTCAATAATGAACTTGCAGCCTTCTGCAATATTTTTATCACAACCAACCCTAGCAAGTAAATATAGCCCCATTTTGAATTTGACTTGATGTTTGAAATCATCATTGCCTTTATCTTTTATTTTTT